CTCTCTCTCTCTCTCGCTCTTTTTCTGCCAGTTTAGAGTTTACGATGTATGTTGTTCTAGGGTTCGGGATTTAGAGGTTTAGGGTTTGAACACGCGCCCTGGACAGGGCGCGCGGTTGTTCCGCGCTGTGTGACAAACCACATCTTTTTGGAAGCGTTCTGCGGTCACCAGGCGTGCAGCCAACAGAAGTTCGTGAAGGCACTTGCCGCCCTTGCGACGTGGCCACTGCTCTCAGAGCACCTTAGCAAATCTATGTGCCTGACTGACTTGCCACACGGACTTTCTGCCTTCCCATGTTGTTCTGGTGTTTAAGCTGTCTTTCGATCTTTGATGCGAGGCTTTCGCAGCGCCGATCGCCTCCCGCAAGCTTGATTTTGTTCCCGGACTGCTGGAGCAAAGGCCTTCGACACAGCCTTTCGTCTGGGCAAACTTAGGCGGTTGACCCAGGGTTTCGGATCTAGGGTGCTTTAGGGCGTAGGGTATCCGATTTAGAGATTGCTGTCTCTCTCTCTCTCTCTCTCTCGCTCTCTCTCCCGTCCATTGCATACCTTCCTCACCAAAAGTCTAGAGCCGTAGGATATTCTGAAGAATAATCTTGCATTTTGGGGAATGGATTCTTGGTCAAGGGATTTCAAGCACTGTACCCGGGCTTGTTGGGCTTTCTTGAGTTCGAACCGTTGCTTATTTTGTCACTCTGGTGCCAAATGTTCAGCCGTGTGCTGTAGGGTTCTGCCGGATTAGGGTTTAGGCTTCAGGGTGCAGGGTCATTTGGAGTGCCTGGGGTTTAGGGTTTAGGGCTTAGGGTTTAGAGTGTAGAGTTTAGGGTTTAGGGTTTAGGGTCTAGGGTTTAGGGTTTAGGGTTACCATACCTAAATCCTAAGCCCCAACCTAAACCCTAAACCCTAAACCCTAAACCCTAAACCCTAAACCCTAAACCCCAAGGCTTGAGGGCGTTAGGAGCTCGGGTGTTCTTGCAGTCCTAGGTGTTAGACTAGCGCAGAGGGCCTGGGACACCGGACCAAGTCTTTGTACAAGGGGTGGGATTTTGCTCTTTATACAGTTCTAGAGCGTATGGCTAAGAGTTTCGCGCTCTAGAGGTTTCGGGGTTTAGGGCTAAGAAATCCGACATCAATTGAACGAATGTTCCTCATTAAAAGAGTATTGGTGAGAAGGGTATGGCCAGGGTGATCGACAGAAGTGCCAACAATCTTCGTAGCATTGACGGCGGCAACAAATTGTTACCGACAGCAACGACAATGATCACAATACTTGTGGCAGGCGTATCGGCCAGACTGATAATACTTACAACAGCAAGAAGAATCAACAAACCGTGAGACAAAACAACTTGACAACAATAGACACAAATGGAACGACCACTCTAAATCACATTACGTGGGTGAGAAATGGAACAATATCTGCAACAATCAGAGCGAGACCACAAAGCAACAACACGATGTGCTCGAAAAAATCCTGAGACGGCCCTCCTTCAGCCGAATAACTCTTACGGTTGCACACTTGGAGCAGTTCAGAGGCCAAGGAGCTATGAGGGTTTAGGGTTTAGGGTTTAGGGTTAAGGCTTAGGGTTTAGGGTTAAAAGTCAAGTAACATACCGGCCTAAATCCAAAGAGCCTACAAATTCACCAGTTCAACTGAGTCGTAGGACTCCTGCCTAGGCCGATCATCCTCATATACACAGAATAAAGAATGGAAAGCCAACAGAAGTTCTTTTGCCGGTGACATGAACCTCACGAATTGGGGTTGGAGATTTTGGGTTTCAGTATTTCGGTTTGTGTTGAATCTCGAAAACCTTCTGTGCACCGCTGAACTTCCTCGCATTCATGGTGCTATACCGGGCGCCCCTGCAGTGTCCGCAGTGCCGGGATGTTGGTTCCAAGCAAGGCACGCATGCCTCGGTCTCCACCTAAACCCTAAGCCCAAAGCCCTGAACCCAAACCCCAGAATCCTAACATAATATCAGAGTCCAAAGATCACCATATTCATGATTCACAGCTCACGACATTGCCGTAATGATCACTCTCACCCCAAATCTTCACTATCACGGCCGACTGCATGTGCCTGAAACCCAACACCATGATGATATGACGACGAATTTAAGGACTTTAATGATTGGAATAGGGTTCTTGGGCCCATTATACTATATTTGTAATAAGGAGCCCCCAAAATAACATTGATAATTATTCAGGCCCCTATATTAGCCGGGATGTTCTGAGAACTGCTTTGTTGAGAGTTCGCACTCTGTCTCCGACAATGACAGCTAAGCCGAGCCCTAAACCCCAAACCCTAAACCCTAAAGCCTAAACCCTAAACCCTATGCATGCTGAGGACGGCACCTAGGGAATCCGCCTCTTCTGGATGTCCCACCTCTCCGTTTCGGCTATCTGATCGAGTGTTTCGAGGGGGCCCAGGAAACTTACGAGGTAATGTAGGGGCCTTAATAATTAGAACAAGGTTTTGGGGTATATATTATAGTATAACTAAATAAAATCAGGAACCCCAAAAATAGTATTGGCAATTATCAAGGCCCCCATATTAACCTTTGCGGCGGCATGCCTTCTGCTACCTAAGGGTCGCTCACGCAGAGAGTCGAAGCTTCGGTTTGGCATACCGCCATGCTAAAACCCTAAACCCTAAACCCTAAACCCTAAACCCTAAACCTTGCAAGATCTTGTGCTTAGGTTTTAAGGCAAGTTCCGGCCTGGGGGTTTTACTCCTTAGGAGAATTTAGGGTTCAGGGGTTTAGGGGTTTAGGTTTTAGGGGTTTAGGGTTTAGGGTTTAGGGTTTAGGGTTTAGGGTCTAGGGGTTTTAGGAGAATTCAGGGTTCCCAGTTACCAACCAGGAATCTGCGGACTTGACGACACTCGCCGCGTGCTACATGCTCCTCAGTTGGTCTTCCACTGCACTACTGTCACCACCGTAATCCTCATCGCCCCAAGTCACGACAGATCCATCGCTCAGGATCGCAACAAAAGCTCGCTCGGATGCTTGGACCTGCTGTACATTCTTCAGCTGGGTGCGTACGGCAGCGCTGTCACCACCGGATCCAGGAGAACCCCAGGTGACGACGTGTCCATCACTTCGTATCGCAGCAAACGCAGATTTGCTGGCTTGAACCTGTACCACATTCCTGAGCTCATCCTGCAGAGCGCTGCTGTTTCCACCAGACGGTGCGTTTCCCCAGGACACGATGGATCCGTCGCCCAGGATCGCGGCAAAGGCCCGCCCGCTTGCTTGGATCTGCTGCACGTTCTTTAGCCGATCTTCCACCGCACTGATATCACCCCCACAATTCGCATCACCCCAGCAGACGACGCATCCATCGCTTCGGATCGCAGCAAAAGCCCAGGCTGCTGCTTGGATCTGCTGAACATTCTTCAGCTTTCCTGCTACTGCACTGGTGGAACCACCAAACCTAGCAAGACCCCAGGCAACAACAGACCCATCAGCAAGGATCGCCGCAAATGCGTCTTCAGTCGCTTGAATCTGCTGCACGTTCTTTAGCCGAGCCTGTACGGCAGTGCTGTTGCCACCAGAACTCGCCCGACCCCAAGTCACCACGGATCCATCGCTAAGGATCGCAGCGAAGGCCCATGCAGCTGCTTGGATGTGCTGCACCTGCTTCAGCTGCTTGCGCACGGCACTGCTGTCGCCGCCATAGCCAGCCTGCCCCCAGGTCACGACAGATCCATCGCCCAGGATTGCAGCAAATGCAGATTTGTTTGCTTGGATTCGCTGTGCATTTTTGAGCTGATCTCTAACAGCACTGCTGTCACCACCACAAGCTGCACTGCCCCAAGACACGACCGACCCATCGTCTCGGATCGCAGCAAATGCCGCATTCGTGGCCTGGATCTGCTGTACGGCTTTGAGCTGATCTCGCACCGCACTGCTGTCACCTCCGAAATCCGTGTCGCCCCAGGTGACGACACCTCCATCGTCCAGGATCGCAGCAAACGCACGGTTGGTTGCTTGAATCTGCTGCACATTCTTCAACTGATTGTGAATTCCACGGCTGTCACCTCCATAGCCTGCGTCATCCCATGTCACCACGGTCCCATCACCCAGTATTGCAGCGACAGCATCGACGGCGCTGCATATCTGAATGCCCCGAATCTGCAAAGTCAGCGAATCACCATCCTCCAGGCCTCCCTCGCTGACCAGCGCTTCTCCATCCAGGACGTCTCCACCTTTCTTCCACCATAGGCCCGGGGGAAGTATATAAAAGGTTACACTTTAAGACCGCTACTAATTTATAGGAACCCAAAAAGTTTAAAGGTTGGGTATTGGGGAACTAAGCCACAGGAGTTCAAGAGTCGTCCTTTGCCAACTCCCAGAGATCTCTGCGCACGCAACCGCACGGCATGCACACACTCATCCCAGTGAGCCTCCAAGGAGACGGTCCTGCCGCTTATGAGGCTCACCTCAATGGTCAAAGACATGACGAAGGACTTTTAGGATTTAGGGGTTAGGGTTTAGGGTTTAGGGTTCAGGGTTTAGGGTTTAGGGTTTAGGGTTGAGGGTTGAGGGCTTAGGGTTTAGGGTTTAGGGCTTAGGGTTTAAGGTTTAAGCTTTGAGGGTTTGAGGGTTTAGGGCTCAGGGCTTAGGGTACTCTAGACCAGCCATGGCCCAGACCTGCGGATTGTCGTCTTTATTGTTGTTGCTGCTGCTGCGGCTACAACCTTTGGGGTATTCTTGCAGTCCTTGACAATATGTCGAATAGCAGTGCTCTGGCCGTGTCTTCAGCATCATACCCGTTACAGATTACAGCTACTACCCTTGCACCTACTCATTATATCAGCACCCCAAACTCCACAAGCCACAGAACCCTAATATAGAAGCCTGAAAATTGGACTAGGTTTTGGGGCTTCCCACGCTACTAACACATCAAGGCGTCATCCTACTTCGTATCCAGTCTAGACCCTAGACCCTAAACCATAAACGCCAGACCATAAACCGTAAACCCTAAACCCTAAACCCTAAACCCTAAACCCTAAACCCTATCATAATGAGACTCAAGGGATTGGGCCGCAGGCTGCCAGATGGGCTAGTCTAGGGTTGAGACTCTAGGGTTTCGGGTTTAGGGTTTAAGGCTTAGGGCGTTTAGGGTTTAGGGTTTAAGGTTTGGGGTTTAGGGTTTAGGGTTTAGGGTTTAAGGTTTGGGGCGATTAGAGCGTTTAGGGCGTTTAGGGTTTAGGGTTTAGGGTTTAAGGTTTAGGGCGTTTAGGGTTTAGGGTTAGTTTTAGGGGTTTAGGGTTTAGGGGTTTAGGGTTTAGGGGAGATCCCGAACTCTGGAACAACCCCAAAAAGGCCTGGAACCCCGAAAGCCATCCTGAAGGCGAAAACGTATCAACCCCAAAACCCCCCAGCAGTCTCGCAACCCAGATACTGTAGGGGCCTTAGCAACTAGAATAGGGTTGGCTCCTTTATACTATAGTTATAATAAGGAACCCTAAGGAAAATCATTGGTAATTATTTAGGCTTCTATATTAGGCCCTCCCTGATCATCCCTGAAGTCCCCGCCTCCCCCGCCGCGGTTGGAAGAGGCCTCTGCGAGAGTGGAGGTCCAGGTCGGTGAAGCTTTGCATCGTTGGTACAGTGCACAAAAAGCAAAGGAGGGTTTAGGGCGTGGGGTTTTAGAGCATAAAGATTGCCCTCGAACCCGAAACCTCTAAACCCGAAACCCGAAACCCCTAAACCCTAATCCCTAAACCCTAAACCGTCTCAACCCTAAACCACCCCTACCTAAATCCCTAAACCCTAAACCCTACATCCCTAAAACCTCAACCCTAAATCCCTAAACCCTAAACCCTAAATCCCTAAACCCTACATCCCTAAACCCTACATCCCTAAACCCTACACCCCTAATCCCTAAACGGAACTACCCACCTGCACAGCAGCGCAGCCCGTGGGATGCCAGCCGCTTCCTGAAGCGCCGTGTGGAGATCGGGCTCCTGCCGGCCGCTCCCAGAAGCTCCAAAGCAGCTTCGCTAGGGAAGTGGGATAGGGTTTTAAGGTTTCAGGGTTTGGGTTTACGGTTTAGGGTTTAGGGGTTAGGGTGCAGGGTTTAGGGTTTAGGTTCTAGGGTTTAGGGTGAAGGGTTTAAGGTTTTATTTAGGGTAGTTAGATTAAGGAAGTGGTTTAGGGTTTACGGTGAACCCCAGAAAGTTCGAACATGGTTTTAGGATGATTAGTGCCGGGATTTCCTTTGCTGTATCTTAAGGGCATGAGGAGAATGATGTTCCAACTTTCTGGCTTCTTGAGTAAGGTTTCAGGGTTTAGGGTAGTTAAATTAAGGAAGTGGTTTAAGGATTTTGGGTTTTAGGGTTTAGGGTAGTTGAATTAAGGAAGCTGTCTTGAATACTGAGAAGGAGTGAGCATCATTACTTTACGAAGGGTTTTGGGACGCGCTGAGCTGTTGTGTAGCTCAGGATTGAAGCTTCTGGTCTTTTGGAGGTTTGGTTTTGCAGGGCGTGACAAAGCGTAAAACGTGCTTTCGGGTTGCCACAGGGCATTTTGCAGGATTTAAACCCTAAACCCTAAACCCAAAGCCATATACCCTAAACCTTAAACCCTAAACCCTACATGCGTAGTTCTCAGGGTCATGTGCGTGGTCGTCCAGGGGCTTGCCGGCTTAGTTTGGAGGTTTTTGGGGTGGGAATCAAGCTTCCGGCGCCTTTCGGATATGAGATCCAGCATTTAGGGTTTTAAATCAAGGCTTTCGGGTAGTTTAATTGTCTAGCTAAGGGGTACAAGGTTTATGGTTTAGGGGTTGAGGGGTTCAGAGTTTTAGGGTTTCGGGGTGTAGGGTTTACATCTTCAGGTAATTTTAAGACGTGGTAAGGGTCTTGCAAACTGAAACAGCGCCGTGTACATTTGGGGGAGGTCTTG